GGCCCCTCCGTTCCCGGGGTTCCCTGCCGTGTCCCGGGGCGGGGGGCACGAGGGACCGGCTCCTCCGAGCCCCGGGGCCGCCCGGTCCCAGTCGCCGCGTCCCCCAGCAGCGCGGCCATGGCGAACCACCTGCGCTTCGTGGGCCGCACGGTGATGGTGCAGAACGGAAACGTGGAGGCGGCGTACGGTGTCCTGAACAGGTGAGCACCGCGGAGAGCCCCGGGGCCAGCGCTCTACAGCCCGCCTCTGGGCCCGGAGAGGCCCCAGTTCCTTTACTGGGTTCAGAACCAGAATTTCATGAGCAGAAGGTTATGGGAGGGTCGTGCCGGATTTTTCTCATCAGCTCCACGTCCCGCCGCCCCCTCGCATGCGGGTGTAAGTAGCGTGAAATACAGGAATAGCTCAGCGCAGACCCAGGCGAGGGCAGCGGAGGAAGAGACGGTGCCACCGCTGAGCTGTGTGCGATCGCTGGTCCCACCTGAAATGAAACTCGGGGACGATTCCTTCCCCTCCTCACGGAGGGACGGCGAGAAGAAGGAGCTGAGGGTCCCCGTGGGGACCGAGCTGTGCCCGGGCTTTGCAGCGTGGGGTGCTCGTTCCTCCCCTCCTCGCACATCCCAGAACTGTTCCTGCCGCCGTCACCGCTCTCTCCCCTCCCGCAGGATCCTGGCTCAGGACGGCGTGGCCGATGCCGTGCGGCGCTCCCGGTACTACGAGAAGCCGAGCCGGGCGCGGCGGCGGCGGGCGTTCGAGGCGTGCCGGCGGGTGTACTGCGCCGAGATGGCGCGCAGGATCGCCTTCCTGGCGCGGAGCAGCCGGCAGGACCCGTGGCTGGGCTGCTAAGGGGGGGCCAGCCCCAATAAAATCCTTTCGCTCTACTCCCCGTTAATTGAGTTTAATTAATGACGGCGCGAGGGGAGGGGCGATCTCGGTGGGCGGGGCCTGGGGCGGGGTTGAGCGCGCGCCGGGGTTCGCCCCTTCTTCCCGGCACCCCCCGCGCGCTTCGCC